CTTTTCTTGTTAAAAAACAGAAGTTCACTTCTCCAAGTTTCAAAGAACTCAACGGAGTTCTTCAACCAGTTTTCTGAAAATTCGAAAAACACGTTTTTTTTAGAGTGTGATACAGAACTTGACGCTGATTCCAAAAGAATAAAACAATTTTCTGAAAACTACTTGGAATCGAGAAAAACACCAAAAAGCGTCAAAACTGGTCAGAAAGGTGAGTATTTCGCAGGTTTTCAGCCACGTTAGATTTGTAGAAACTTTTGAAGATAGATCCGGAGACCGTAAACCTCATAGTAGTTTTCTCTGGTAAGCACGTGGAATCAACAGGTTTTTGCATCAAGATAAATTTCGATCGTTCCGCTTCCAGAGCCACAAAATACTATTTCTTGAGTTTGATGAGTGATCTGTGAGATCATGAGTTTCCTGCAAAGAATTCATTGCTCTATTTGTGTAAAAACAGTGAATGTTTTTGAGGTATATTAAATTAAGTCAACTCATTCTGCATTAATATCGATCCGTTCGAATCCACTGTTTTTACATGAATAGCAAAACGAAGGAAGCAAACCGGCAGAAATTTATCGACAACATATTTATTCGCGATTAGAATGAGACTCATCCTGATGCGGAGAGATTTTGGACGAATGAGGCATTCTAGAAAAGTTAGAGATGGCCAAAATGATGAAAACGTATGTGGCTAACTGAGATGGGCCACTTGGGTCCTTGTTTGAGTCAAGAAATGTTTCAAATTGTTGAGTCTTCAGTACGACTTTAGAGCTTTGGCTTTTCTGACTTACCTGTAAATCTGCTTGTCTTCTGATCTGATTTTCTTGTGTGTTCTGATTTCCATTAGATATCTACCAGTTTCAAGTAAAACGAAGACAACTCTAACTGTAAACTGTAGAAGTTCAAAAAGAAAGAAAATAATATCTATCTGATTGTTCAGTTTAGAAAAATACAAATGGGACCAAAGAATTTTAAACAATAGAAGATTCCTTCACTAAAATAAATCAAACGCAGTAAAAATGAAAAAATGGAAAAGTTTTAGAGCAGATGTAGTGCGACGGTGAGATAAAACAAGAAGGTGCAACAGAAGGTTGAATAAAATACGAATTTAAATGTGAATGAATTAAGTTAACTGTAAAACAAAACTACTGTAGCAGGAAGCTATTAACCATACGACGAAACGTGGTTGTTTAGTAGTTCTCATATTGTAGTTTCTGTGCTGTGATTGTGTACTTCACTTGCGTCAATGATGTCCCAGAAATTTTGCCATTGTGAGGTAATTTCACAAGATAACTGAAAGTTGCGCCAGTACCGGTACACTGTTGGTTTTGACACTTAAGTGTAAACAGTGCTGGGTACACGGTTGGTGACGAGCGATTATGGCTTACAAATTCAAAAAGTAAAAATTTTAATTCTAATTTGCTGTTGTTATTGCATTCCCATGTCCCGAAAATATTACTTGTGGGATTTTTTTCATTATTTTCATTCGCACCACCCCCTTGTAAAATGCCAGTTTGATAAAAGTTAAAAATGTATTGAGTTACAAATTTGGGTGGTGTTGTAATCTTAAATCTGACCGCGTAGACGCCACTCAAATTTCCGTGGCATGGCCTAATTGATGGACTTGTCAAATAACGATTTGAAGTGAATGTTAGTGACGGAGATGAACTACCATCACGAAATGTCATACGTAGATATTGCAACGGATAATAACTGCTTGTTAGTTCACCTGTACAGTTTTCATACTGTGTTGAGCCATCGGCTTTCGCTGGACATTGCATGTAAAATGCAGATGAACCAATCGATTCTCTGTTTGTTACCCTGTTGGCTGGGTAATTAAAATAGTTGGGAATTCCATTAACTGCACGTGTATTTCGGGGCGTTCATTAAGAATGTACACTAAAAGTAAGCGTTTCCGACGTCTTCCTTCCTCACGTGAAAACATATGGAAGTGACACCTTTCGTTTTCACTCATTCATATGCTGATCAATAGCGTATATCGAGATAAAGCCTAAAAGGATGGGGATCCATCACTCTTCCTTTAAAAACTAGATGTGTTTATTTAGTTCTCCTAGCGAAAATAAGGAAAATAAAAAACTCATAACTCTGAGTCTAATTATTATATTGCAAATTTCAGCTCTCTAACCCTTCTAAAACGTTTCAAACTATTTAGAAGTACTGTAGTTTTGGATTAGAGAATAGGTAGCTAACCGTAAAGGAGCATCCATATTTTATTCAATTATAGTTAAAATTACTCAACATTTCGACTGTCCGTCCACACAGTCATTTTCAAGAGAATACACTGTACATAAAATTAAGTTCAACAGACATCGAAGCGAATATATTGCAAAAATGGGTGACATTGTTAATGATAAGAGTATATTTAAACGAATAACAATTGAACCGACAATCAGTAAAGAAGATAAACTCACGGGTTTATTCATACAACTGCGGAAGCGTGGCTTTATAAGTGACGCTGGATATAAATTGGTTAGACCTGTGGGATCGCGGTTTACAAGGTTGTACGGTTTACCGACGGTGCATAAACCCAATCGACCACTTAGACCAATATTGTCATTTGTTAAAATATTTAATTATGGATTAAGATTGATGTTAGCAAAACGGTTAGATCATTTAAGGTATACTCCTAAGATTATTAAAGATTCATTCGATTTTGCAAATATAGCTAAATCGTTTCCAGAATCACATCTAATTTACAAATGTTATCATTTGGTGTTAAGACCTTATTTACTACAGTAGCATTATCCTGTACTATAGATTTAATTATCGATAAGTTGTATGGAAAATGTAATTCTTGAGTAAATACACGGAGAAAGAAGAGATGTGACAGATGTGTAGACAAAGATGATTTTTGCAATCTTTTAGTTTTAACTACATCTGACAAACATTTGATGTTTATTGGCGAATTATATGAACGGATTGACGCGGTTAGTATAGCTTTTTACTATTTTGATGCACACTATCGATCGGCATGAAAACGGATTTGACACTTCCACATGTGTTCTTCGTCTGACAGAGCGAAAAATCAGATTCCCTCTCTTCAGACGAACAACATCGACAGTTCTTCTCCTCTCCCGCTCCATGGGACATACATATATATAGATATATAGATATACGTCTGATGATGATACGGTTTAGTTTTCAATTCTCAAAATGCATGCGTAATTTTTTCTAACTTGTAGTTGTTTTATTTGATCGGCTTGAGCGACTGACGGTCTCCTTTTCTTTCTCTTGTTCGAAAAACCCTTCCAGTAAAGCAAGAAGCTAATTTAAAATCCTAAACAAATAATTGAATAGACTAAACATTCCTCTACAAAATGAGAGATATCACGACTTGGACAGCTGATTTATTATGAAAATAAAGCTATTTTACAAAGAGTCCAAAAAGTCCATTTCGCGTCTGTCGGGCAAACGTTTTTCAGGAAGCGAAGACAATTGGGGAAATAACCAAAAAGTATACCAGTGTGTAGACAATAGTTTGCTCTACAAGACATGAAAGTTTTTGATGTTCGAAACTATCTTAATTAATTACTATTGATTAAAGAAAGCAGAGAAAATGGTAAGGCACTCACAAATATAACCGCGTTACCGTCTCCTTTACTTTCCTTTAATCAGTAATAATTAATAAATTTTTTATTAGAAGTTGGCACTAACAGCAAATGCAAGATATGAAAGCGTGATATTGCTTTTATCAGTTGAGAGGCACTCACACAAATGGCCAAAAATGTGAGTGCGTTACCGTTTCGTTTACTTTTCTTTGATCAATAATAGTTAATAAATTTTTTGTTAGAAGTTTGCACTGCCTGAGAATATGTTTGTAACTCCCTCAGGGACAGATCGAGAGCTGAAGTTTTTTTGCGCGTGTTACTGGCGAATACCGNAAAACCCGACTTATGATGCCCACGAAAAAGTTAATTCTATAAGTAGGGTATGCTGACTAGTTTCAACTCTTTTTCTTTCTTCTACTGTACAACAGTAAAAAAGAAAGCAATAATTAGTGAAAAGAGATTGATGCACGGCAAATACCCTTAGCAAATAATCTCTCATTTTGTAGAGAAATGTTTAATCTACAATTATCTGTTTAGGATTTTAAATTAGTTTCTAGCTCTATTGCAAGCGTTTTGCGAACAAGAGGAAATAAACGAGACCGCTAGTCAGACAAGGCGTGATGATGATGATAATTTTATAATTGAAAGTTCATAATTATAATAAAATAAATTAAAATGAATCATTTAGGTGTAA